CTTCACATACTCGATAAGATGGATATATACATTTATTCCACGCTCGGCCAGCACGGACATTTGGGTTTTCAACACCTGCTACGCCAAGTTCCGCGGCACGGCCTCTGCGCGCAAAAGCTACCAGGACGGGCGCAGGGACGGGAGGCCGGACGTGGCGGCGGTTCATCCCTTTTGGTGCCTGGCTAACCACGACTGCGATCCGAATGTGAGCTGGGAGTGGGGGGGCAAGATGAAGCTTTGGGCGAGGGACAAGAGGGTTGTTGGGGGGAGGGAAGGAGGGGTGAAGAAGGGAGAGGAGATCTTGAATCATTACTGCGATGTGGAGCTGCCTGTTAAGGAGAGGAGGGAGTGGGCCAGGGGGAGTTTGGGAGGGTGGTGCATGTGCTCGAGGTGTAGGGAGGAGGCTGCTGGCGAGGAGGGGAGGGAGGTGATGGGGGTTGATGGGGTGGTGGCGGAGAAGAATTAGTTTTTCTTCTTTTTCTCCTGTCTGGTTGTTTTTTGCTTGATATACACGCACAGCGAGGGGGTTTTTTTAAGGGGTTGGGGAGGAGGGAAAGGGGGACCATCAGGCATATTTGGGAGTGATGGATTTTTCTATCTACCTACTTAGGGGCAGCATATGGAGGAGGTGGGGGAGAGGATTCTTTTCTTTTTTTTTTCTTTGAACCAAAAAAAACTTTCCAGGGCGTACATTACCAACTACACGATGGGGTTGTGCGGCAGCTCTGGGGCGTTTGAACATCTTGACATTTACACATTTTCTTTTTATCTGTCCGATATGTTTTTTGCTTTTGCCAAATCTCCCAAAGTTCTTTGCAAGATATCTGAGCGAATTGAGTGCATTTACCATCAAGTCCCCACCCATGTACATATCAAGGGTTGGGTTGGGGTTGTTTCCAGAAATCCCATCTTTCGCATCACTCTCTTCAAAGAGTCTATCCAGTATCCCATAAAAACAGTTCTTGGTTCATCTTCTCTTGCCCCCTTCTCGCCTCAATTCTCGTTGTAACAAAACCTATGGAGCAATGTCCTGGTACTTCTCCTCTTCCAAAACACACATCTCGACCCCGGCTGTCAATCCACCACGCCTTCACTCACATGTTCCTGTCAAAAACCGACGATCACCACACCTGACAAACTCGCATGTGAATCATCCCAATTACGAAGCAACACAAACTGGGGGACAAGGGAAAGCGATGGCAAAAACCCCAAGAATGATATGATATGACACCCAAGTTCTAGAATCTCTTATGTCAGTAACCAAACGAGGGTGTAAGTGGGGAAACCGGCCAATCAAAACCATAGGATGTCGAACCCAACAGAAATAAAAAAAGTGGCACGCATCGATCAGTGGCTTAGCTCTATGGCTTGTGCTTTCCTCGTAGGGAAAAAGAGATGGAAAATCTACCACACGAGGTCCAACAAACCTGGGGATCAATTGTGGGTTTCTGGTGGCTAGACTAGGAACGGAAGATACTCTTCCCGGACGACAGCGGCGGAGGACGTTCTTTTTCGAGATAGGTTTGTGAATGGAAAGGTGAGGAGACTCCCCGGCAGTTCTCGTTTCCGAGATATGTCCTGACCACCGGAACATTCTCAGGGAATTATTAAGCCAAGATGTGTGGAGAAACGAACATTGGAAATCTGAGGTTGCGGGAGAAGCAAAAGAGATTCACGGAAGGCTCGATGGAGGCTTGATATCCCGAACGTTTTGCTCCGGACAGGGGACAGGTCCCTATCCATCTTCTCTGCATACGACAGGGCCTGTTAGAATGACAGCAGAAGGAGAGGATGGCTTGGGTTCTCGGGGTAGGAAACTTTGGGACTGTGCCACCAGAGCTCGCGGTTTGTCCCGGGGCGAGGAGGTTCCTTCATTAGCTCTAGTCTAGACAGTGTCTAATGGTAAGCTTCCTCTTATGATGTGGAAGATGGAGAAGTTACCTGAGCATGATGATGGACAGGTGGCCTCCTCAAGTGAAGAGGGGCTTACCCAACCGGGGGAATGAACAGCGGGCTCCATTGGCGGTTTTGGAGCTCTCGCCACGTCCCAAGGTTACCCCAGAGCAGCATTGAGGTTCGGTGACCGACGCTCCCAAGAACAGCAAAGTTGGACATGTCGCCTCTCAAAAGAGGGGTTCATTGGGCTTGGACTGTTGAGGGGGGGTAGGGGTCTATCCGTTCGTGCCGTCCAAGGGTCCTTCTTGTGTTCGTGCTCCCGCAGCTAACCACCCCACGGGATTCGTTCGTGTGGGTGCTGGCAGCTAGTGCTGCCATGGGGGTGTTGTCGAGGGTGCTACATGAGATTGCAGAGTCATGATGTACCAGTATGTACCTGCCACAAGGCAGCAGACTTATGGCGTGACGAGTGTTCGGATTGGGAATGGGCTTGGGAGCTGTCGATATCCCCAACGGTACTGTAATCCAATTAGCGACGTTGGAGGGCTGGCCGGCAGGTGGGAGATTCCTTGGTAACCTGTTCTCGTAGGCGAGTCCGGGACTTGGGGTTTATCAACTGACAGAGTATGGATTGCAGGATGAGATAGCCATCCGGAACAAGAGGCAAAGCTTAACACTCGGGCTCCTGTGCGGTGAGAGCTGGTGCTGATCTGGACATCTGTCTGCTGGCTTTGATGCAGAACTTCCAGGTTCGTTGCAGAAGCGAGAACGCTCGGCTCAGGCGTGTGATGAGCTGGCTACTGACGGCCCCCGGTACAAGTGACAGGAGCGACTCATGGGGGCTTTGGCCGGTGATGGTAGGCGCAACCAGCGAGAGGCTCCACATAAGCGATCCAAAGGGGAAGAGCCGTCGACATCTGGTTTGGGAAGGAAGGAAGGAAGGAAGGGCTCAACTGTGTGTTATTACCACCTTGGCATGCGCGCCCAAAGGGGGAGGTAGGCATGATGCTGGAAGGGCGGTAGCTGTTCGGCAAACTAATGTCACAGTATGACGGTGTGTAGCGAGTTAACAAACTGACATTGTGGCAGGGAGTTCAATACTAAGCTTCTGGTCCGGGGCTGCAGACTGAAATCATTGTAGACAGCTCGTTGTGATCAATGATACAACAATTATGGTCGAAACGGTGAAGTTCAATTTCACGTATGGGAGCATAAGGCCATGGCTATGTATTGCTATTTCGTTTCTCTTGTGCCAATGCCTCACCAACTGATGATAATCACCTTGCCTTGAATCATGAAGTGAGTCTTGATCGTAAGAGGCTATTATTTCCCAGTTTACTCGTGGGGTCAAGGTCAACAAGCCAAGAAGAGATGTCAACGAGCAGGACAGGGGGGTTGTTACAAAGTTATATTTCACATGGTGAGGCTGGCTGCAACGCATCGTGGAAAATTTGACCGTGTCGGCCATCATACATTAAACCGAAGAAGATTCATCACACCAGATACCATGCCGAGCTCCCACCAAAACCAGCCCATCATGAAAGCAAGAGAAAATAGAAGCCTTTCACCGCTCAGAATGGAATGCTTTTCTGCCCTTCAACTTTCATCATGGTCAGTTTCTCGGCATCGACCTCCCCGAACATTGACCACACCCTTTCCCATCCCCATTAGTTTCCCCGCCAACTCATCCCCCCCCAGCACACCCCTCACCTCACCCCCTCTCCTCCTCTCCTCCTGTTCCAAAATACCCAGTATATTCTGCGCAACCATATCCTTCGCAAACTTCTTACCATACACCCCCTCCACCCTCCCAAAGCCCTTCTCCCCCACCCCATCAGGTATGATCCAACTGTCAGGCCCCATGTCGGCATGCCCATCGAATACTGCAACCTGACCAGCTCTAGCAATCAAAACATACCTCGGCGGTCGAAACCCCAATTTCTCACACAGCGCAGCCACTCTCTTAGAAGGTGATTCCCCTGGTGCAGTATCATTCTCTTCATCATCCGGTGGAGGGTCAAGAGGGGCTCCGCCCGGGGGGTCAAGTAGTGAGGTGGTCGAGTCTGTTGGCTTTGGCGGGGGAGGAAGTTTAGAGGGGGATGACTGGGTGGGTGTTGTCGTTGCCGAGGAAGAATGTCCCCCTTGAGCAGCAGCATGTGTGTTGGGGGATGACGGTTGGGATGACAAGGGGCTGTAAATCTTGCTGGTCGAAGCCATCATCTTATTCGAGGCATGGGGGAACGTCACGCTTTTCCCATCCTTTGGCATCATCCGCTCTGCCATCAGCCATTCGACGCAGCATTTCGCCGCGTACTTCTTCGCGTCCTTCTTCTTGGCGAAGCCATTCTGGACGAGCTTCTCTGGCTGGGGAAAAACAAGTGGTTGAGAGCCGATGGAGCGGGAAAAGATTAGCATGCAGTTCCATTTTGTGCTTGGAGCTGCGGATATGGCTTCGTCTTTGTAGATGATGGAATTTTCGGTTCTGGCCTTGTGGGCGTCGATGTATCCTGGGTTGGTGTTAGTGATGTGAAGACATGAAGTGAAAGGGATGCATGAAAAAGGGGACATACTCTGCAATAAGCTGATCCAGTCATGACCACCAGTATCAGGCTCTTCATCCTTGAGAGAAGAAGTCAAATCAGTCAGCGCCCTACGTTGGAGAGGTGTGATCGGTTTCGGGTCTTTCATCTGCTGCTCAACAAACAATGCCAAGGACTGGTAATCGATGCCGTCGTCGTTTGCAGCCGAAGAAGAAACCGTTGCTGTCGCCATGGTGCTCATAGGCGCAACAGGGTTGCGAGTGAGTTTCTGTCTGAGCTTTTTCGGAGATGCCTGAGCTTGAGCTATCGTGTCATTGACAAACTGCCCCAGTTTGCGTTTCGCTTTTCTGGGGGGAGGCATGATGCTGATGAGGCGGACGGCTTTGGGGGGATTCGGGCTTCTATATGTGTTCGAGGCTGTCAAAGTGGGGCGGGGTAAGACCTCGTGTGCAAACGAAGACAAGAGTCCCAATTGGATGTGAAGCCGGCGAAGTTGGCAGCAATAGTTTCGAGAAAACGAGGAAATGGAACGGGCGATGATCATTGCGAGGAGGTCAAACAAAAGCCACAGAGTCTGCCGCGCGAATGTGGTTGTAAGTGCGCTGTGGGCCTCACTTGATAATGCGCAGCGGCCCAAAAGACAAACAAGGCCTCCTCCACCAGTCGCATTTTGGTTGGCAAATCATAGCTGCACGAGCTGGATGCCTCCGTTTCTACAGAAAAACTATTCGCCGTCATGGGTATCATAATCAAGCCCGGGTCTCTGCCGGATTATCGTGTTTGGCAGCACCTCCCCTGCACCCTCACTCCCGTTTTGATCCTACTCGAAGAAGCCGCCACCATCTTCCTCTTCCTCCTCCTTCTTCTTGGCCTTGGACTTCTTGGAGTTCTTCTTGCCGTCATCTTGTGCCCCTTCATCCTCCGCATCCTCGGCTGGTCTCCGATTTTGCAGCCTCTCCAGTGCCTTCTTGCCCTCCTCTCTCGTCTTCTCAATCAGGGCCCACATGGGTGGTCTCTCTGTGTGCAAATATTGAGCCGCCTTTTCCTCTTCTCCCTCCGCCGGCTTCGCATATAAACTGATGTAGGGCTCCATAAAAGGGTAGTAAATGGCGTAGTCAATGTCGACCTGCGCCTTGTGAAGATCTTCTCTGAGCTTGGCAATCTCGTCGTCATTCGTCGCTTGCGCCAGCTTCTTCTCGAGTTGCTTTGCAATCCTGACGGCCTTTTTCCGTTCTGCAATAGTCGATTAGTATGTTGAAGTACACAATAGACAGAGAAAATAGCCTACCAAAGAAGCGAACCATGTGGTACTTTGAAATCATCTTGGATCTGATCTTCTTGTATTGGGCATCGGCAATGCGGCGCTTGTGAGCGGCCAATTCTCTCTCCAGTTCCCTCTTCTTGTGAGCAGGAAGCTTCTCGGGGTCATGCGCCAGCAGTCTCTCGATGGCGCGAGCGCGCTTCTTGATGGCAGTGTTGTTCTCAAGGTCGACGGCTTTGCGCGGCTTGGTCTTATGCGATCGCTCGTCTCTCGCTCGTTTTCTGGAAGGGTGCATGCTGTCGTCACCCACGGCCTGGGCCTCGGATCGAGATCGTTTGACTCCCATTGTGAACGTAGTTGTTGGTGTTGCTGTGTAAGGTCTCAAAGTTGCTTGACGAGATGCGATAACTTGCTTGTCGATAAAGAGAAGGCCAAAAAAAAGGTGGAGCTCAGACAACTGCAGCTGCCCCGCCAAGTCACTGTTAGGACAGGGGTTAGGGTTATTGAAGCTATAACCTCATCTCATCAGCCATGTGAAGGGAAGCTCTCAACAACACCTTGATCCAGCTTCGAAAAAAATGACCAATTCGCTCTTTTATGTTTGACAAGAGTTACTAATTCCTACGAGTCTCATACCTTGGATGAACCTTCCTTCTTTGATGATGAAACCAGGTCTCAGCAGATGAACACACGACACACTGCTCAACCACACACAGAGTACCCCGACTGACGAGGTAGCGGAGCTGTTAAATCTCATCACATCGTCTTCACCTCAGCCAGACCGCGCAACTGCCATCATGGATCGGACCGAGCCAGGGCTGATCAAATGGTCACCCAATGCCTCCCATAGCTCATTCATACACATCAACCTCCAACACCGCATGGTCCAGTTGTATGAGCCGACAGGACATGCCCAGCGCGGACGATTCGAGTATCGGAAAGTCGCCAAACACGCTGACATCCCACCACTTACCACTTATGACTGGTCACCCTCAATGCCTGGTCTGGTGGCAGTGGGAACATCAACGGGCGTGGTCAACCTCTTGCGAGTAGACGACAACTCCAACGCCTATCTTGAGCTGGGACTCAAAATGTCACGCACATGTCACGCTGTGGCCTTCAACACGATGGGGAAGCTAGCAGTAGCTCTGGAAAGAGTGAGAAATGACAACTGCCTCTACATTTGGGACGTCAACCGACTGTCCGGGATCGACTCCTCCGTGAGGGGTTTCCCCACCAACATCAGTGCCCCTTCAGACCCTACCGACCGGCTCGAACCAAGTGTGTCCGTTTCGAGTGTCAAGTTCTTTGAGGACGACCCCAATCTTCTGGTCGCGGGCATCAAGGGGACTGGATTGAGATTGCACGACCTCAGAGACCATCATAACGCGGCAATTACGTTCCGAACAGGGTGCTGTAACAACCTCGCCATCGACTATGCCGACCCACATTATTTTGCCTCCTCCGCCTTGGATAAGCCTGGTGTGATGGTCTGGGACCGACGCTACATTGATCAGCATCATGTCAATCCAGTATATGCCAAAGCTGTGCAGTCCGACAGCCTACCGCCGGGAGGCGCTTTACGTTTGGACCATGCCGTTGACGAGGAGGCAGATTCATCACTGACGGACAATAAAAATTCATTTATCCGGGCCCTTCGTTTCTGCCGTGACCAACCTGGTTTGCTGGCAATGTTGTCACGGACAGGCCAACTCAAGGTTCTGCACACAAGGCGCGAGCATCTCGAGCCAGAGTTGGTTGTGGAAGGAAGCCCAGAGTTGCTCGAGGTTGCACGGTCGCGCGAACTCGAGCCTCTCTACGCCGACCTAGCTCGCAAGAATGACAAAGTTGTGTCTTTTGACTGGATCACGATGAGTTCCCCGGTTCTACAACCGCGCATACTGGTCCTTAGGGCCAACGGAGCATTGGATGTGGTCGAAAAGCCATCTTTTACGTCTGAATACCCATACAAAATGGTCCCATGGCAACCGCCACATCGAGGATTTGAAGGTAATTTGTCTCCATCTCACTCACTTTATGGATAACTGACATGTGGCAGAAAACACACCCTATCAAGACCTTATGGAGTTTGAACCATCTCATTCACATGCCATGCTCGGGCCATTGCTAACCGAGACCGCTCTCCTCGACAAGCCTGTCTTTGGCTCCAACAAAGTTGACGTGGCTGCTGTGGTAGAGCAGACGTTTGCTACACCACCCGAAGCAGTCCTCGCTGTTCAAGTCTCTGGGGATGCCGAGCTTCCAGCAGCATTTCATAACGCAACTACTGTTGCAGAACAGCTGAAGGCGCTGAGATCAATGGTCAAAGACACAGAGGTAGGCACTCAAGCCGAGCCGCCTTCACAACGCCACCGCCATGAGAAACTCCTCATGGAGACTATGAACTTGGCCCGCAACTCGCCCACAGCAAGAAATGTGCTGGATCACATTATGCTTCTGAGAGCCAAGGAGGGGTACTTATTCAACTATGAGAAAAACAGGGAGATTGTGTCGGATGATGTCTGGTTGAGGGATGTGTGGGCGTGGGTTTCTGGCGCTCAGGAGGCGGCATCTGATGGGGGGATGATGTCGCACCCTCTTGATATTGGATACCTGGGCGTCTACACAATATGGTCAAACGATCTCGGAAGCCGACCGCATATGAGACTTTCCGACGGCGAGCCACCACCAGACGAGGCCGGGTGGGAACGCTGCCTCAACGCGATCAACAAAAAGCTCGGCATTCCCAAATATGACGGCCCGGCGCCGACGTCGAGGCCTCACCACCGAGAGATGTGTTTGGAAATGTGCAGCTACGGTCGATCCTATGAGTCTGAGTATGAAGAGGCCATGTCTGACAGGACGCTCAAGAAAGACTCAGCCTGGTACACCATGGTCGCCGCCAACACTCTCTTCCGAGGTGACATCAAAGGCGCCGTCCAAGTTCTCAAAAAAGCCAGCAACGAGCACCCCGAACTCTTGTTTGTATCCCTCGCCCTCCAACTAATAAGCAAAGACAAGGTCGAAACCCTCGACTTTGACGCCCGCGTCGCCTCCAAAACCGACCCCTATCTCCGCGCCATTTCCTCCATCATCGCAACCGGCGACTGGGCTTCAATCGCCGACCAACCCTCCCTCCCTCTCCGCGACCGCATCTTCATCGCCTTGCGAACCTTTGACGACGACCACTTGGACTACTGGCTCCAAGCCCAAGTCAACAAAGCAATCTCCTTTGGCGACATCGAAGGGATAGTCCTTACAGGCATCACAGACTCTTTAGTCGACATCCTCTGCAGCTATGTCCACAAGTTCAACGACTTCCAAACCGCCTCACTTTTGCTCTCGATCTGCTCCCCCCGCTTCATCGACGACGTTCGCGCAACCGCATTCAGGGAAGCCTACCGCCGCTACCTCCAACGTCACCACGCGTTTTACCTCCGCGCGAAATTTGACGTCGAGTCCACCAAACGGAGCAAACACCTCGGCCGACCGACAGTGAAACCCCCCGGCCGTCAAATCGCTCTTCGCTGCGTGTATTGTGACGCGGAAACGTCAATGTCGGCCCAGCAGAACCACCCTCCTAGTCACGAGGGCACCACCCCCAATTTTATGCTGTTAGCCCCTTCTGCGTCAAGCGCTGCATCAACCCACCCATCCCCAGCCACGATATCCATCATCCCAGCAGGCAACACCTCCAAGGCCTCCAAAGGCGGGAGCAACAATCCGTTCACAGACAAGATGATCTCCAGTGGAATTTCTTGTCCCACCTGCAGACGCCATTTACCTCGCTGCGTGGTCTGTTTGGAAGTTGTGGGGCTGCCGAGGAGTGACCAGGCCCGGCATTGGCATCATAACACAGGGACGGGGGGAATTGGCGGCGGCGGTGGCAGGATAGGAGTAAGAGGCGGAGAGGATCAAGAGATGAAACTAGCGGCGAGATTTCCCACTTTTTGTCTGCAGTGCCTGCACGTCCTGCATTTGGACCACGCGAGGAAGTGGTTTGCTAGGCATAGGGAGTGTCCGGTTCCCGAGTGTAAGTGCAGGTGTAATTTCAGGGCGAATGAGGAGTTGGCGTATCGGTGAGAGGTTTTGTGGTGGTGGGTTAACTGTGAGGATTTCTTTTAAAATGTGGACTATTGTAGGACGAGTTTTAGGGGCAGGGGCACTTTCTGCTGCCGAAATGAGAAGATGTCTATCTGAGTTGAAACTGTTGAAAGGGCTATCGGGGTGCTCAGAGGAAGCCCTCACGCTCGGGATGTAAGATCGTGGAGATACTGGTCACCGAGATGAAGCTACATGAGCATGACGAATGGTGGAATATGTATCTGCACAATGTATCACGCCTGGACGAGCAAGATATTATAAACTCAAATCGTGTTTCCTCCTGGTAAGTGGGCAATTTCGATTATAGCCTCATGCCAGCTTCAAGGCTGCTTGATATTCCTCCTCCCTTCTACACTAATCCATTTCCCCCTGATAGACACCCTTGTGTCTTAAACCGCAAAATGCTTTCGCATGAATCGCCTACATCCAAGTCTCCCGTTGTCCGATTCAAAAACCTCCTGCGTCCGTTTCGAGACAAAAGGTTTCTCTTTCGACGACTTGACGTTCAAGCAACAGTCCCACACCTTCTTCTCGAGGTCCCGCGGGTTGTAAGGCGTCATGTCAAGGTCAGTTCCCCGATCTTTGAGGAGCTCGTGGAGAACCCTGAGCTTTCCTGTTGGTTTTGGTTGTCAGTCGAGCTTTACTAACTTACTAACGGCAACCTGACATGCCTGGATGGTGCCGGTCGCAACAAGGCGATGCTCCGCCATTCTCTCGACCGCCGCCACCGACTTCGAACAGTCTCCTGCAACGTTTTCAGTGACGGGTCGCGCCCTTTTTGACCTCGGTGTTGTTGTTCGCAGCCTTGTGGGGAGAGGGAGGTGCGGTGATCTTGGTGTCGGCTTCGTCTTTTGATTTCACAATCAACTTTCCATCGACGGATTTGGGTGGTTCTGTCGCTCATCTTGTCGATGGTTTGAGTGTAGTTGTTGCGAGAGTGAAAGAGAGAAATGAGGGGGAAGAGGTATTTGTTGTTCTAGTTTGAAAATTGAGGAAGCAATAGGACCTGAAGCAAGGCGGTATAGTCGCAAGCAGGGAAGGAAGGAAGGTGGTGCGGTGCGATTCTGGCTACCTACCTAGGTAAGGCACCAAGGTATCTAGGTGCGGATTGTATCGGAACCTCTATGGATATATTCGTGGTCACCGAGAGATCATGCTGGGAAACAGTTTATGTAGATTTGAACCCGCAATCCAGATAAATTTGTACATGGCGGCCCCGGTAGCTCCATGCCATATTCAAGACCATACAGGCCCTGCTATCTCTTCTCTGCCAAACCAATGCCCTGTGATACACCCCCTCAGAGGGGACCCTCACCGCAGTATGCTTCCCCTTGTACTCCACACAACCAAGCTTCCCCTTGTCTAGCCCCCTCCAATCCTGGGTGGCTCTGCTTACAAAAGGGCCCTCAGATATCGATTTCTCTTGTAGACAGCATGGCCACACATTCTTGTGATCCAGTTCACCTCTATGGTGGTTGCCCGTGTCAACATCAGCCCCACCCTCGTCGATGAATTCACGTAACGACACGGAATTCCCTAGTTGTTGAGCCATGTCAGATGGGAACCGATGGCTTATCATGGCATACCTTACTTACCTGTGTGGTACCAGTCGCAGTACGGTGATCCTATACCATCCTCAAAAGCTCCAGGCTCGAAGAGACGTTTGTAGCGCTTACATTCAGTGATTGGGGTGTTGGGGAACTTGTCCTCAGGTCCTTCGTATGGTGGAGGTGCCGTAAACTCGGGGCTCTCCATGGCGGGATTGCTGGGACAGGTGGCATTGAGGCTTTGCGTAGTGGGAGCGTCTGAGGTTGCGACCTCGGAGTGTTACCCGGTTTGTTCGTTGGAGGATGCGGCCTCGGAGCTTTGCACGACGGAATCATTTGATGTGGCCTTGGAGTTTTGTACGACAGGATGATGAGAGGATGTGACCTTGAACTTTTGTATGGCTGAATCATCGGGGCATACGCTCTTGGAGCTTGACGGAACGGAATTATCAACGAGTGTGCCCATGGAGCTTTGCCTAACTCGATCGTTCCCGTGCGTAACAGAGAATAGAAGAAGAACGCAATTCCAAGTCTTCAATGCGAAAGCTTGGATAAGACTAACTTGGGGAAGGTGAACAGAACAGCTGTTCTAGTGGTGATGGTGATGATAGAAAGATCATCACACGGAAAAGAAGAGAAAGGCTGGTTAAAATAGCGAAAATATGACCAAGTCAGATAACGCAAATGACATAAGTGAACAGGAAAGACTCATCTATCGGGTGAACCTGCTCAACTAAAAGCGCCAGATGGGGACAGAGACAAGGGGGGGGCAGAAAAGTTTGAATCAACTCTTCACGTTTTGGGCCACCGGAGACGATGACATGGAGAGCCTCAAGTGACCCGAAATGATGCAGAAATCTTGACGAGAATGACAACCATGCCTGCATATCAGCAAACCGCTTTGTAAACACCTGAATGCTAGTTTGGCTTGAGGTTGAGAAGTGATACACAGATCACTTCTGAAAACAATAATGCAACCTGAATAGCAGCTTCGTTTCTGGATACGTAACCACACAGTCTTCAACAGTATTCTTTTTCGGAACAGCGCGATATAGAAAACAGATACCAATGCCGCTTTTGTCATGTCGATGCAGAGATCATTGTAATCCATTTCCTTTTACTCAAAAGCCCAGACAGCAATATCGAGACAAGACAAACTTCCAATACATCGATAACTCTAACCCGTCCACTTATACACGATGTCCAAAAACTTTCCACCCACCTCACAATGTCCAAAACTACCCCAAACAGCCTTTCGTACACCCTCACCTTTCTCATATATAAACCCCCTACCTCATCCCGACCCCATCTCCCAATGCTATCCACCCATCTACAACCCATTGAAACAGCCTACAAACAATAATCAGCAAATTGATCGTCCTCGTCCCTGTGCCCGCGCCCGCGCCCGCCAGGAAGAGAAAGGCCGTCGACAAGAAGAGAAGCTGGTATATCCCTCCCCAACATCCATACCCGCTTCTCCTGCCCAAAGAAGAAGACGGCGATGACCTCACTTCATCCTCCCCTTTGCCCTTTCCCTTCCAAGTAGAGGGGCATCAAACCCCATAGCGAATGACAAAACGCTAACAATCCCCCCAGCAGCCAAAAATCAGTGGGGATCCATTCCCTTATCCCGAGAGGTAGAAATGTCCCTCTTCCCCGAGCACGAGCAAGCGCCTGAAGACGTTGACATGCTTGGCGAGGAAGTCCCCATCAACGTCAACGCACGCTCACTCTTCCGAGCCAGGAGACGAGGAGGTAGAGCAGGAGGAGGACCATGACGACGGGGATGTGAGAGACGCCAGATGTGTGGCCCCCTCCTTCTCTTCGTCGTCGCATGGACAAGTGAGGATTACGAAAGTATGCTGAAGGGGACGTGGACATGACTACTCCTCCACAGGTAGACTGTTCACCCCCCCACCGTTGGAGGAAAGAAGGGGCCTTGGTGTGTTCCTGGCTTGGTTGGCATTAGCCCGCTGTTTTTGTCCATCACTGCAAACACCGTTGAATAGCACGCTTGAACGACTCTCAGCCGCCGGCTACACTCACAACTTCTCGATTGACTAAAGAAAAATAATGTATACCAGACTTTACTCCCATGACAACAACAGAGGTGGTGAAAAATGGAATATAGCTCTCCCATCATCATCAGCATCATACACTCTTTCTTTCTCTCTCTCTCTTCTCGGTCTCAATCTCCTCCTCTAACCCCACATCTCTTCGTTTCTTCAACACCACAAAAGAAACACAAAGAAATATACCACCCAACCCATCAATTTTCATCCCCCTCATCATCTTTACTCATCTCAATAATCATATACGCCATAAACCATGCATCCACGATTCCTTTAACCACCCACAGCAGCACAAGAAACAAAGAAAGAAAAACGCTTCAGCTTCTGTTTGTTTTAATCCACAACCAACCACCCCCCCCGCCCCCCCTAATACCATCTCTCTGTCACTGTCCATTTTTATCCTCCTTCCTAAAAACCTCGGGGTATCATCACGCCACCACCTCTTTTCCTCCTCTCTATCACTCTCTTCATCCAACCCCCATCTACTCCATCATCCTACACCAAGGATGCGCCAACACCTGCTCGATATCCAGTCTCTGCTCCACGTTCCGATCCAGCATCTTCCGAATGAGATCAATGCTGTCGTCGCTGATGGTATACGGCACCCTCAGGTCCCGGTCCATAATCTCATCAATGCTGTAGAACGGGTTCTCCTTGTAGATGATGGTGTAGAGCAGAATGCCCAACGCCCATACATCCTGCTCTTTGCCGCCGTAGGGCCTGCCAGCCAGAACTTCTGGGGCTGCGTAGTCTGTTGTTTCATCTAATGTCAGCAATCCACAGTTTTCTGACAAGTTACCAGGAAGTCTCACCAATGGTGCCCACAAAAACATCAAACGGCCCGCTCTTGATATATGCCGCGCTCCCAAAATCAATCAGCTTGATCCTTCCCTCCCCATCCAATATGACATTCTCGTCCTTGATATCCCGGTGCACCACCAGCGCCTTGGTGTGCAGGTGGTGAATCGCTCTCGCGACCTGAACAAAGATGCTCCGGCACTCTTGCTCCTCCATGTTGGCGCGAAGCTCAATGTAGTCGAAAAGATCCATCCCCGGCAAGCCGTGCGGCACCATCTCAATGTAGTAATTCACTTCGTCCTCGAAAAAGTCCTCCATCTCGACAATGTTGGGGTGCTTGAAGCCGTCGCGACGCAGGTAGTCCAGCACGTGGATCTCCAGCGGGACGGTACCCAGTCGTCTGTCTCGCGTCCACGTGTCGACCAGAATGCGCCTCTTGGTAACATATTTGAGAATGCTGCGCTTGCCGCTGTCGCGATAACGGGCCAGCTTGACTTGGCCGTAGGCGCCTTGTCCCATTTCCTCGAGGATGACAAAGTCGTCGATCGACTTCTTCTTCTTTGCTTCTGACTTGGCATCAGCCGCGATCGCGGGTTGTTGCTGCTCCATTGGTGCCTCGGTGCCCTTGATGGCACCCCCGGTGATTTTGGCAGCGGCGCTGTAAGCAGCGTCCTTCAGCTGTCTCGCCAGCGAGGAGGCGGCCGTCTGTTCCTCCTTTGGCGGCTCGTTGTCGGAATCCGACTGCATTTCCACCGGTGTATGCGCGGGTGTTTGTCCAGGTGACGGTTGGTGAAGCGGGGTGGCAGCGCCAGAGAGCAACGGCGACGATACTCCCAAATTTGTTCTGGATGCGTGCAGGTGCCTAGAGTAGGTTATCCACAAAGCATAAACCATCTCTGTGTGTGGCACCACAAATTTGTCGTTGGCTCCCCCAGACGCCGAGTCGTCATCGCTCCCCTCCTCGACCACCTCCTCGTGGATCGTGGTTTGGTGTTCACTCTTCACCACGCGCATCTGAATGTCAATTTTGAGTTCGGAGCCATCCCGATGCTTGGCCGGAAGACCTTCGGGCCGCAAAAATCCCGTTGCAGCATCCGGCCGGCCCTCTCTGAGGGCAAGGAAGGCCGATGCTTTCCTGAAGGAGTGCTCCGGAATCACGATGCCATCAACCAAGTGAATGCCATCTTCGTCCGTCAGAATCTGAAGGATCCTGTCAAAGTTTGGCACCAGGCTGTTGATAGACATCCCGTCCGGCTTCTCGTGACCGAAAAGGGCGCCACAAAAGACAGAGTTTGAGCTCTTGATCTTCAAGCTCTGAGGGGCTACCACAACGATACCGGCAATGTGGGGGAAACTGGACACTCGCAGTTCAGTTGTCCCCCGGACCTGCTCAACTGTGGCCGGAATGTTGATTCTGTCGCAGTTTCGGCAGGTGTAGTACTTCTTCTTGGTAATCTCATAGTAGTCGACCTCGCCGAACCGTGGGTCAAAGCCTTGGCGCGGAATACGGGGTATCAACCGCCCAACGTCCAGACCAGGCTGGATCGTCTCGTCTCCCCAAATAGGGCCCAGCGCACCGGAAAGTTTGACAACGTTGCCGTCTTCGTCAACGTCCACATACGCAACGTCCTCGTGGATCTCCTCCAAGACCCAGATGAGGCCCACCTTCTTCTCCTTCACCCACAAGCTGGCCGAACCCGTTGCGCCGTTTCGCTTTTGGATCGGGACCACGTCTCCGCACAGCAGCACGCCCCTAGACTTGCTGTTGTTATGAGCATGCCCCGGCTTTGGTGGCTTAGGGTCGCCGTTGTGGATCGTTGCAGGTCGCCGGCCAGTCTTGGGGGCCTGCGTCCTCGAATTGGGTTTGCTCAAGAGTTTTGCCGTAATTCCACCCCCCGCGAGCACCGAGCAGACTCTTAGTCGGCGTGATTACTTTCGTCGGTGATGGGGCATCGTTCTCAGAGCCATCTCCCGCATCGTCGTGCACGCCCGCCTGCAGCTTTCGCGACAGCCAGTTCCGCCTTTCTTCCTGCACCACCTCCAAGATACCCATCTTCCTGACCTCGGCCTTGGTCACACCAAAAAGCAAACAGGCAAGATCGTTGGCGGCAAGAATCGTCCATGGTGGCTTCGACTCTGTGGTGAAAATGGCCTGGGCGGCAGGTACCCATCTCGTGGAGCCATGTGCCGCACCCGGCAGCGAGGTAGCTGTGTTGATCATGGGAGTGAAGGCTTGCTGAGGTGATTTTCGCGAGATGATGTGCTGTGCTTGGACCGGCTCGGTGGCAAGGAACGGCTGGGCCATGGCGTCCATAAGCTTTTGCTGCACCGATATTTGGACAGTGTCGGTCATGGTCCGCTTCAGCGCAGCGTTCGGACGAATAGCAGGTGGAGGTGTCGTCTTCCCGGTTGTGTGCGTTTTTGCTGTCGTGCCGCTCTCGTTGGTGGGGGTTCTCGATGAGCTCTCAGAGTCGGGCTCTCCTCCCATGAGGAGCTGAGGTCTGGGGAGGGGTGCAGTAGCCGGCGCATCCTTCAGCTCAGCAGGTTCCAGGGTCAAGGGGGACAACAAGGGCGTTCTCTCGATCGGACCTGGGCTTTCAGTCCTCGGGATGAACTCCTTATCAAACACATTCTCGTCAGACATGGTTGCAGGACCGCTCAGTGGACCTGTGGGGATGCTAAGGTCCCCATTTGGAATGTTACCAGCCCCTACCAGTTGGGCTTTCGCGAGGAGGTCCAGCATGTTCTGCATCTCCACGTCACCAGTGACCCGAGCTTGCGCGCTGGCCATGGCAGCGCTCGTCGAGACCGACCAGCCCATCCGATCTTTCATAAACTCGATGGACTTTTTGAGGACATTTTGGCGGCTGTGCAAAAGGTCTTCAGACTGATGCGCAAACGAAAAGGAATGCAACGACTCGGACGGAAAGCGGTTCAGGTCTTCAGTAAAGGCAGGAGAAGTTGGGCCAGGAGAGATGGGTGTGTTGCCCATGTCGGACAGCACCGAAACGGACGAGCATCTGGTGAGAGCGCTGAGAGAAGGTGCCCGACTTCCAGAGGAAGGCATCGTGGGAGCTCGAACGGGATTGTGTTGCTGCCGGATGCGCCTGAGCCCTGACAGGCCCAAGCCGTGATCGTGGTCCGTCATGATTGAGCTCCTGAAAGGACCAACATGTCAGTATTTTCAGCTCAGGCAGTTCAAAGACCAAACACAGTGACGAAGCCCCAACACATCTCGACTCGAGCTAACCTTGTGATGGTGTCATATTCCGTGGCAGAGGGCCCAGCATCAAACGAGAATCGGATTCGAGCCTTTTCAGAGTTATCACCGCCCATATGCCCTAGGTTTCCCGTGCTTCGGTTCTTTGGGATGTGCAAGCCCGGCGAGAGCCTTGACCGGCCGCGCTGCTCCTCGGCATCGTGTCGTGTTTCGTCGCCTGTCACCGGGTTGGCCCCTTGTCAGCACTGACTCCGACTGTGCGGGCAAAGAAGAGCGGCGTAGCATTAGGTATCCGTGAAACCCACCATTGTTATGGTTCCCACCATATACACCGAGCATAATTGGCGCAAGCAGAGTGTATCCAGTGGTCTGCAGTGTAGCAAATGCGTATGGAAGGTTATGTGTTGGAGAGAGGCTCGTGGCTCGTGGCTCGTGGCTCGTGTCTCCTGGCTCGCGGGGTTGGCAAGAGTTGAGCCCAAGCTACGTCTGTCTGTAGGGTGTGGTCAAGCTCAAAGACAAGACAAGATTCAGAGCCCACCCCTCTTTGTATTTGGTCCCCTAGTACTTTGGCGGCGCAGAAAATAGCTGGTGTCTTGAGTACGGAGGTAGGGCAGCGGCGAGTGCAGGGGACGAGGTGCAGATTTTTGAAGCTCTCGATAGGGCTGCCAGGTGAGGTATGCATGCACTTTCGAAATCGGAGGGCCCGTTGAGGAAGAGTGCGACTGCGACTGCGGCTGCGACCGCGACTGGACAAGCGACGGGCAGCAGTGGAGGGACGGATGGGTTCGAGTTGATTCGACCGTGGCTGCTGTCAGTCAGATGCCTTGTGGTTCTCTCAAAGTCTGGATAGGTGCCTGATGGAATCGTGTCGCTGACCGTCGCACGTTGTTTGCAGCGAAATCGAGATTGTGAGGATGATCTGTCACTCGCTGGGTCCGCTCTTGCAAGTATTTAGCGGGCTGCCCCAAGTTTAGATGTGCATGACGAGCAGTGATGGGGCGGGCAGAGGGGGAGTTCAGGTTGGCCACCATAGGGCAGCCCATCGCGGCACAGTGCGCACACGGTAGAACATTTGGCCGCAGTGATCATCCCGAGGCCAAAAAGCCCCAAACGGCCACACAGACCCCCGCGGCCCGGCGCGGTAAGCGCTGAAGTGGCTTTTTGTTCTGCCGCTTCAAAGGGCAAAAGTCAACAAATGCTCGATACAACAACGGCATGACACAGGTCCGTTTCTCCAGGCATCCAGGACGGGTTAGGGCTGTGTAATATCTCTGATGAACTACCACGCGTGTTCCTGTTCCCCCGCTGGTATCACGAAATGAGGATGGCTGCAGGCTTGCTTCTCTCTGCCCAGTTAGAGACCACCTTCAACCCAACCAGCCAAGCCCGCCACAGTCCCAAGCTGCTGGAAACGCACTGTGGACCCCGAACGAAACCCTCATTCCTCGAATTCCTTCCCTGCTTTTTGGTGAGATCCGCATGGCTGCCGTTGCATTGGTTGCAGTCCCAACGCGGGGGCCCATGTGAAAAGAACGGCAGGCCAACTGGGGTTCAGCAGGTGTTTGGGTTTTGGTCTCATCGTTGCAAGGCCCTCCGGCAGTTGCTTAACTGACAGATATTGAACTACCTTGGAAGGTATTCAGACGACGACGGCTTCCAGCAGCCACTACGGGCAGTGGCACAAGAGGCACAGAGGCACAGCAGCCACTCAGCGAAAGACGTCTCCGGCGAGGTCATCGTGCAGCTTCCCAGCATCTTGTCATGTTGATCATTTCCAGAGTTTGCTGTTTCTTTTCCGCAGGTCAGACCCTGCGATGGTCCCCAATGTCGCACGATCGCATGGCCTGCATGATTTTCGAGGTATTTTATCGCCCTGAATCCAAGACACAACCACGACATCGTGATCTCATTCCAGCGCTCATGGAGGGGAAATGCCAGAGGTGAAGAATCACCAACAACCCCCGCATGCATCCCGCGTGTAGAAGGTAGTATTCCGATCTCGCTTCGAAGTCATACATCCCTAGCAACATCGCTCTCACACACACTACGACCTGTCAAGCCAAAATTACTCAGAGCTCAGTTGTGGGGAGATGGTATCATGGGATCTTGCAGTCAGCTGCTTATATGAGGTGATGCTGTCCACCAGCACATTTTTTCGCTCTTTTTGGGCATCACAGCAGATGGGCCAAGCCTAGGAAGCCACTCGCCAAGCGTGGGGAGCTGCAAGCTTCGGGAAGCACCAGAAGAAGGCCCGGCCGTGGAAAGGCTCCACTTTGCTGAGCTTCCGGGGCCGACCCTCCGCGCCGGGTCGGTGTCCGGCCCACCATCTCGGGTGGATGAAACGGCCAGAAGGACGGGAGATGTTCTCGGGGCCAATGTGGCCAACACGTCAGAAATCAAACAAAAATAACTACATAAATAGTGATGGTCGACCCCAATTCAAGCAACCTCCAACTGGCATGATCCCGTGGCCATAGTCCCATGTTCCTGCTTGACGCTTTGCACAGAGGAACGGTCACTTGGGACGTTCGTCTGGACGAGTCATGTCAGCAGACTTTGCTCTGCCACCGCCTCCCCACCCTATGCTACTTTTTGGAACCCCTACAAGTAGCCACATGGTTAGTAGATGTGAATGGCGAGCTCTTGCCCCGAGCGAACCACCTCGTTGCATGCTGTCCTCTTCTTCTTCTTCTTCTTCTTCTTCTTCTTCTTCTTCTTCTTCTTCTTCTTCATCCAGAGTTGTGCGCAGCCAAGCGCTGGGTTTACGGCCCGGATGCAAGCCGTCTGACCGATAGGTGATGCTCATTGGAAGACCGCTCGCTCACTGCAGGGTCCCCCCTTGCCCTACACACCAAGAAAGCCACCCGCAGAATATTCCCTTTCCGTTCTCTTGCCAAAATATAAGTCCGCTCGCTACCTGACTCTGTTTCGAGGTGGTATTCCTGGCTTCGGCTGGCTGTGTCTATGGCATTGTCGGGATGGCGAATTGGCGGGGTAAAGATTGATAAGTGACAGTGAGGGGCAGATCTGCGCTGGATAAGCCGGGCTGATAAGGGGTCTTTTGGCCACCCACTCCCAGCTCAGAGCTTTGCTGACCACCACTTCCATGGTAACAATGGTGCTGACGGGCTAAACGGCGGCTCCGTCTCTCTTTGTTGAGCAACGCCATGTTTTCGATCAACAAGAATCACAGACAACAGAAGCCAAGATGGGGCCAACATCAACCACAAAGATAAGATAAGACCAGGAGGGGTCGCATGGGCGACGAAAACAAACATTGGAACACCAAGAACCAATCGCCATCAGTGGTATAAGTCACGAACGAGTCGATGGATGCCACGAAGACTGGTCAGATGCGGGCTCTTGAGTGCAGCTGGCCTCCCTTTTTTTTTTTTTGTTCTCGGGTCCTCTGGCTCTTCCCCAAAAGAGACGGTGGACGCTTGGATGCAGGGAAACTCGTGCAACCACACCACCACAAATGTTGGAGAACCCTTGCCTTTCCCTGGTTATCCTATTCGGACTAAGGGTATTCGGGATGCCATTTGCCTGGTAAATCAGAAATCCGGTGGGGGGGAGGGGGACAACCGGACTTTTCTGGCTGCAGTCCTAGGACCCTGCGGGAATCCATCCAGGCACAGTATTCGTATCTAGGTATCCATCTTATCGTCGGTCTCTCTCTTGACCTGTTTCTGACATTTTACATAACTCCCAGCCTTTGCACCGACTCCCATCTCAACTTTTTCTGTTCTCTCCCCTGCATGAAACAACTGGCTCCCATTGCTCCCCGACCGCCTGAGGCTGAACTCCCTGTCCTGGCCAGACCTTCGCAGTTTCTCCTGACGGTCCAATCACTTCCGCACCGGGAAAGTCGGCCACACCATCCCACGGATCAACACACCTCGCAGCCGGCCAGGTCCCAAAAGATCCAATTCTTCTCTAGTGCCTCTCTCGCTCTCCCCGCTTTGATCTGCACCAGCTCGACCAGCCAAAGTTTCCAGAGATCCCGAGCTTCTCAAACAGGCACAAGGCCCTAGGAACCGAATCAGGGCTTGACCACGAGTAGTCAGGGAACAGCTGGTGAACTTGATAGGACTTGCCGCTGGAACCACGAGGTTCACGGACTCGTCCTTTGTCTTTGCTGGTCGTTGCCCCTCGCCCGCTGCCCTATTCTGGAACACCCCCACTCCACCATTGACTTAAAACAGCGCCACTCTTCCCGGTTCAGCGATCCCGAGGCGCCATTGGAAGGGGGGAACCCATAAACAACGCACTGCCTTCTTGATAACCGTCTTTGCTGTCCCCCTTTCTTCTAGAATCCGTTATTTTGATTACTTGAAACTTCTTTCTTGCTTTCCTCCGTGGTTCATTTGCTTGTCAGATTCCAAACCAAAACTCCGGATACGGTTCCCGGTCCTGTCGCCGTTATGGCCGACTCCACTATTTCCCACACGACCCCGGGTTCGCCGGCGAGCCCCGCTTCCGAGGCCGGCAGCTTGGACGTCCAGCCCGGAGGTGATGCTGCTGAGCAATTCCCGGTGTTGCAGCACAAGAGCAAAGGCCGGCAAAGACTTCTGAGGGGTCTGCAGCGGATATCGTCTTCGCAGAGCCTCCGTGCCCGAATCAGTCGTCCCAGAGCGTCGAGCGCCCCGTATAGAAGCTCGGCTTCTTCGCTGTCGTGTGTGAGCCTGGCTTCGACGCCGTCACCGTTTGGCCAACCGAGCAGCAGTTCCTCCTACTTTTCGTTTGGAGACGTGTCAACCGCCCCGACTTCCGTTGCCGCAACGCCGGCTGTCGAGACACCGGGTTACGATGGCATCGAGTCTGTCTTGGCGGTTCGCAAGGTTGACCACCCCGTTTCCGCGCCGATGACCATCTCTTTGCCGACGGAAATCAAGAAGAGGGCCAAGATTTTCAATTTCTGGGACACGATACCGAATGAGATCAAAATCCATGTTCTCTCGTTCCTCTCGCCAAAAGAGCTTGTCCGGATCTCACGAGTGTCAAAGAGGTTCCATGAGCTGTGCTTTGATGGCCAGCTTTGGACGGAATTCGACGCCTCAAAGTTCTACAGAGAGATCCCAGCCGAGTCGTTGACCAAGATTCTGGAAACGGCCGGACCGTTTGTGCACGACCTCAACCTCAGGGGCTGCCTCCAAATCGAGCACATGCAACGGGCTCAGCGCTTGGTTGCCGCCTGCCACAACCTCTACAGCACTTCGTTGGAAGGGTGCCGTAACTTCCAACGGCCGACTCTACACACCCTCCTCAAGGCTAACAACCAGCTCGTTCACCTCAACCTCACCGGCCTCCCAGCAGTCAACAATGCCACCTGCAAGATCATCTCCCGAGAATGCCCCGACTTGGAGACCCTCGATGTTTCTGGTTGCAAACAAATGGACGCCCGCGGCATCCGATTCGTCCTCGAAGGCTGCCCCAAACTCCGTGACCTCCGCGCGAGCAATGTCCGCGGTTTTTCGTCCGACGCCGACGTAGCAACCGCCATCTTTTCGACCAACAACCTCGAGCGACTGATCCTATCCAACTGCTCCGACATGACAGACGACACCTTCAGAATCATGATCTTGGGACCAACCCCCGAATTCGACATGCTCACCAACCGCCCTCTAACACCCCCTCGCAAACTCCGCCACCTGGACCTCACCCACTGCAGCCGCCTATCAGACAACAGCATCAAATCCCTCGCCTACGTCACCCCCCACCTCGAAGGCCTCTCCCTGTCGAACCTCACCCAGCTGACCGACTCGGCCCTCGACCCAATTCTCGCCTCATGCCCCAACCTCACCCACCTCGACCTGGAAGAGTTGCCTCATTTAACCAACTCTTCATTCATGGCCCTGTCTCGAGCCCCGTGCTCGACAAAGCTGGAGCACCTCTCCATCTCGGGGTGTGACTCTGTCTCGGACGTGGGGATGCTACCCGTTTTTCAGGCGTGCACAAGCCTGAAATCAGTCGTGATGGACAACACCCGCATTTCGAACCTTACTCTTACCGAGGCGGCCAATATGGTTCGGAACCGAAGCCTATCCCCCCCATCATCGGCTTCTTCTTCTCCTCCCCTCCCGAGGACTACGCTTGAGCTGACGGTGTATGATACCCCCCTTGTCACCTGGACGGGGGTTCTCGAGATCCTATCTAGGAACTCGGAGCCTCCGATGGCAAGACCGGCAAAGGATGGGGTTGTTGAGATTGGCGGGGGGAGGAAAGGGAAGGAGGTGATTGGACTGAGGTGTTTTCACACGTGGCAGATGACTGTCGATGAGCATACGAGGCGGGTGCTGAAGGGGGATTTGGGGGGTGCGAGGAGGGTGGAGAGGAAGTGGGCCGAGTACATGCAGGCGGAGAACGAGATGGAGGTTGCGGGAGGGTGGAGGAGACGGAGGAGGGTGACGGCGACGAGGGCGGTGTTGGAGGAGGATCAGGGGGTGCACCAGCAGGGGCACAGGGGGAGGGGGAGGGGGAGGACGGTGGGGTGTGCGGTTATGTAAGGGGTTGGTTGCTGGGGTGATGAATAGGGGGGTTGGGGCAAAGTAAAGAAAGTGCTTCTTGCTTTGTTGGCTGGGCCCAAACATACATACATACATACATACATACACGGAGAAGGCGCTCGGTTAGTTTTGGGACCTTTATTTTTTTTTCTTTTTTGTTTGGGACATTTTGCAGCATTTGGATTATCAATTTGGTCGTCTTCAAGGACTGGGACAGGAGGAGATCGAGACACAAACGGAGACAATCCAGACAGGTGCTCGGTTTGTCTGCCCAAGTTGCATTTTCTCAAGTACATAGCTTTGAATTGTTAAGCGCAGGGCGTGGGTTTTCTTTTTTTTTATACAAGGAGTTTTGACCTGGATGGGATTGGGAGGGTTTTGTTTGCTGTTTTAAGGAGAGAGGTTGTCGTGTGGTTTACGTACAATGGGGGAATTGGTGGCGTAGACTAGCAGTTAGGGATGGCAAGTTTGGCTTGTAGATGAAGTATATGAACAAGCTATTTCACACAAAGATTCGATGGTTGTAAGAGCAGTGGCGAGAGGCATATTGCTCCAGTAGGGAGGGTGGTTGATAGAGAGGGTACAAAGACTGGTCAAACAGGGGCAAACTAGGAGCCTATCAAATGCTCTCAAGCGGTCAATGTTCAAATATCATACAAAACCTCTGTCTCTCCAACACCCAAGCAATGTCACAGCAACACATATATACAGTTCCCCCATGCCATGACATGCTCTCTCTCTCTCTCTCTCTCTCTCTCTTTCTTATAGTGTACGGTATCTCTGTTTCCCCCCTTTCTATCTATCTTTCCCACCAGAAAAAAAAAATCTATTCCTTCTTCCCAGCCTTAGCCGCCTTCTTGGCAGCCTCCTTGGCCAACTTCTCCTTCCTCGCAATCTGCGCCTCAACTCCAATCCCACCAAACACCAGCCCAACCCCCAACCACTGCATCTGGGACAGCGTATGCCCAAACGCAATCACGCTCAGAATCATGGTGAACATCTTCCTCGTCACCGTGACAGTAACGAGCAGCACCGACGAGAAAGTCGAGAGCGTATGGACTAGAAAAATTCCCATCCTGTTAGCCAACCCACCCATCCAACCATCATCATCATCATCAACATCAACCACAATCCTTCAAAATAAAAACAACTCACAAATAAAAACCTGCCCCACACACCCACAAACCGCAAACCCAAGCACATCCCTCCAAACACGCGGGTGCCTCCCCAAAAACTCCAGCGCAGCCACCAGCTCCCCCCCACCCCCAGCAACATCCATCCCAAACCACCTCCCCACCCCCGTCCTCACCAACCACGGGCTCATCACCAAATACCCCCCTGTCAGCGCCCCGCTCAGCAAATTATTCGCAGCCATCATCTGCGGCCCCGTATAGCTCCTATCAGCCCCAAAGATGTAATCCTGCGTACTGTTCGTCAACCCGTCAAACAGCAAGTTGATCCCCAACAGCAACATCCCCCACCCCGTCTGCCCCGAATTCCCTCCGCCTCCCGCCTTGTGCTTCTTACTCCCCGAATGCAGCGTGAAAACCGCCACCCCCGTCGTGACCGCCGCAACAACCAAGTATTTATAAAGCGGGTACCTCTTCCTAAAAACCGTCACATGCAGCGCCATCACCGGCAGCAACTTGCACGACTTGGCCAGGATGAACGTGATGTAGTCGATGTGCCCCAAAGCAGCGTACCCAAACGGCGCGGCCAACGCGTTCGTCACCGCGACAAGCAGCAACGGTGGCAAGATCCCCCTGTTGGGGACCGGACTCTTCATCTTCTCCCCTTTGGGTGTGCTCACCCACGTGAAGAGCAGCCCGCCCAAGCCGGCAAACAGGCTCTGGATTGTGAGGAGAAAAACCGAGAACTTGAACCTTTCCTTGTTCGGGCCGTGGGTGGTCGTTGTGAGTTTTTCTTGGAGGTAGGCCCAGGTTAGACTGTCCATCGTTAGCAATCACGGCTGTTGTTTGGAAAGGGGGACAGAGGAAAACAAACAAGGAGGCATATATCCCCGCCACGCAGACAACAAGCGTCACTACGCCCGCCTCCTTCTTCCCCGGCTTCGTCACCACCACGACGGCGTCTGCAATCTCCCTTTCCACCTTTTCCGCCACCGTCCCATTCTCCTCTTCGACAACCCGTCCACTCGCCGTCCGTTTCAGTTCCCCCGCGGTGTACTCAGACGACGGCTCCCGCCTGATCGGCACGGCTTTGGTGCGAGCCATCTTGGTCTCTCGTAACCCGTCCGTTTGTTGGTTGCGCGCTGTGTATAGCTTTCGTCAGTTTTGCGCAAGCTGCTGCTGTTCGCAAAAGGTGAATTGGAATTTATTTCCAATCTCACTTCCTAAAATTAGTCAAGAAAAAAAATCAATTGGCGCAATCTGTCCAAATCGCGTTCACAATGAGACGGAAACCGCGCCGCGCTCATCAAGGTGGTGTGTCACCAAAAAGAGGTTCCGGACAGGGTGGCTTTATCAGAAAGATCACCCCTGTCACTTAGCTATCCTAGTGAACTGCTCAGTGCTGCTTCCCCTGTTCCCGCACCGTTTCCCCCCCCCCCCCTGGCCCACCCGGCAGCGGCGGGGGCCCTGCTCCGGCATTCGAGAACTCTGGGGAACCCAGAAAAGAAAAATGCCAAGAGAGGGTTACGGCTGGATAACCCTAGATGATTTTAAAAAAAGAGAGCTTAGACAACCCTGGAGCAAACCTATCAAACCAGACCTTCACATCGACACTTTTATGTACAGTACATCACATAAAAATCACCCTGGAAGCAAAGGCAAAGTCATCGTAATGCTCATATTGATCTTCTCCAGTCTACACCTAAATGCCCATCTCTACATCCCTCCAGAGATCAGTAGAGACAAGTGAGTAATCTTGGTTCTAGAGCGGTGGCGGAGCTAGCTAGTGATGGTGACCGCAGGCAAAGCAGAAAACCATCGCCTCGTCCACACACAAGACTGGAAAAGGAAAAAAAAAGCTGTGAATTTTGAGATTGGCTAGACCTATTCGGTTCGCGCGGCTATATTGAGCATGTTGAAGTCCAAGCGTCGGTTGGGGGGTGTAAAGGCGGAAAATAAGATGGGGTGGACGTGGTGAAAAGAGTTTTGGTGTTTATCGGTTTTTTTTTCGTTGTAAGCGGAGGGGGTTGTGAGAACTGATTCGAGAACTAAGTGGTGTGACGTATCGCACTGGGGAGGGGAATTCGATTTCGGTGGCTGGGCGTGCTCTCTGTGTGGGTGTGACCCCAAGAGCTTTGTTGCCCACGAGCCCGTATAGTTGTGGTGCTAATTGTTGATGGGGGTGATCGTGATCCGTCGTTTGGCGGCCACCGATGAAGATGAGATTGGTAAGGGTGAGGGAGTGAAATGCCTGCCGGGGAAAAAAGTGGCTGGCGAAATGCTTTTGGTAAGGAAATGTCATCACATCGTATCCCGCCCCCCCAAAATGATGTGCCTTGCGGCAGTCAGATCTGGAAATGACCCATAGCGAGGGACTGCCAAATCCAACACCAACCAGGAAAACAAATAGTAATAATAAAAAAACGCCCGGATCGTGGCTGGCAGCTCACCATCATCCTACCCTCGGAAACTCCTTCAGGTACATCATATACGAAGTATTACAGCCGGGGACCTCTCTGGTCCTCTTCTCCATCCTAAGCAGAAACCTGACCAGATTGTTGCATCTCCTGGCGACGAATCTTCTCGGCCTCGAGGTTCTCGTACAGAAGATAGAGGGCCGTCTCGTTGGCCTTGGCGCTACCCATGATGGTGAACATGCGCTCACCGGTATCGTCATGAGGGGCCTGTTCACCCCGGTCAGCACACACCACTTGTCATCTCAGATAAAGAGGCACCCACCTTGGCAATCGAGATGCGAGCTCCAGAAGTCTTGCGGATCTCGCTAATCTTGGAACCAGCACGGCCAATGATGCAGCCAACCATATCAGCGGGAATACTGATGTTCTGCGTCTGGATTTCCTCGCCGTTCTCGTCGTGTGTGGGAGGGCCGCGCTGAGCAGCATCGGAATCGGAGCGACGGTTGTACTGGCGAGGGCCGCCATTGCTAAAGTCGGCGCCGTTGCCGGTCCGTGTAACACGGGATGAACCGCCATAGGGGGCCCTCTCCTGGGGGTAGCTGCTAGCACCTCCCATCGCCGGCGCGCCCGCGCCAGTTCCTGTGCGAACCACAGGGTTGTAGAGGACAGTGCCCTGGCCGCGCTGCCAGTCGTCGACCAAGCACTTGCAAATCTCCCAAGTCGCACGCTGGATGCCCTCAGGGGTGCCTTGGACCTCGACAACACGCTCGGTAGACTGCGGCAGCATTTCCTTTTGCGCAACCATGCGCACGCCCGACACATCCTGGATATGCTTGATTTTGAGACCTTGTCTACCAATAACGGTGCCCATCTGGTTGTGAGAGATAAGAAGCTTGATGGCTGTGTTGTCCCACCAGGTTAGCGCAGTGAACAGAGATGGTCATCAAGCAGAGCACATACGATGAGTTCCATTGGCAGCGACGACGCCTCCCATGCCCATGGCAGGAGCGCCTTCCATCAGAGCAGAGGCAACCTTGGCATAGGCCTTGGAGATGGCTTCGCAGCCGCCGGTGATGGTGAGAACACGGTCATAGACGCCGGGAACAACCTTGCTCACGCCAGCCTTGACGCCAGTCTCATCACGCAAATCAGCGACATTCTTGCCAGCCTTTCCAATGATTACCCCAGCTTCCTTCGAAGACACAATAGCCCGCAAGGTCATCTGGGTTTGTGCGTATTCCTCGTCCGTCTTGGGAGCCGGCTCTCCATCGGGACCAAGGCGCGGCTCGTCGTTGAGCTTGAGCTGGTCGAAGGATTCGTTGAGGTCGGCGCCGTTGGACGGGACAGAGTCTTGAGGGGCAGACATATTGAGGATTGGGTTAGGGGGGTTGGGGG